ATACTAGTTATACTATGCAGGTAAATGGATGGATTACCTTTCCACCTTATTTTTTTAATGTATATTTTATTCAATTTTTGTACATTTTGTCTCAAAAAGACCAAAAAAAAAAAAAAACCCAAAAACAAAAACAAAAACAAATCTTTATACCCCCTTCAGATTTTCTCACAGAATTTGGAGCTCACCCCTTTGGCTAGACTGGCTGTCCAGTGAACCCCAGGATCTTCTTCTCTCCATTTCCCCACTAGTATATGAATGCTAGTGATCCAAACTCAGGTCCTCTTGTATGCAAGCACTTTATCAAATAAGTCATTTCCCCAGCTCTAACCACTCTCTGTAAAAAATTGGTTGCATAAGATCTCACAGTTAGTGAGTAGGCCAGGTCTATGAACTACCAATCTGGGCTGTATTAATTGCTCATTATTTTTATCTGACCTATAGGGCTTTTCTGGCACCCAAGCTTGGAAGAGCATCACTTTATGTTGAAAGGTTCAGATCCTGGTATAGAGAAAGCACCTAACTTGACAAAATATTCAGAAATTTGATGGCAGATTTTGGTCATTGAGGATAATTTAAACATTTTCTAAGCAGTAATGAGCCATTTTTAGTTTTCTTCTTTGTGAGTCTTAAGAAGAAATTTCCCAGCACTCACAAGTTTTGGAGTCAGATATATTTAGCTTGAGTTCAAAACCTGTCACTCACTGACTATGGGCTATGAAATTTCAAATAATTGTTTAAAGTGTCTTAAATCTAAACCTTAGTCTTCTCAACTGTGAGAACAGGAAAATTAGGACTCTTTAGTTTATTGTGAGAATTTAATGAGTCAATCTATTCAAGACTAACCAGTACCTGTAATGTAAAAAGTGCATAACAAGAATACATTTCTTGATCTGGGAATGTAGTTCAGTGGTACAGTGCTTCCTAGAGGAAGCCCTGGGTTTGAGCCTCTGTACCACAAAAAGTGATCTCATTAAAAACGAAAACAAATCTTAAAAAGGAGATGGGTCTTGAGAGGTGTCTCAGCAGTTAAGAGCAAGCACTGCTCTTATAGAGGACCTGAGTTCAGTGGTCACTACTGTCATATGACTCAGAGCCACCTGTAACTCTAGCTCCAGGGGATCTGACTCCCCCTAGCCTCTGTGGGCACCTGTACTCAACTGCACATATCTCGACACAGGCACACATACATAAAGAAAAACAACAATAAATCTTAAAGAAGTCCTTCCTCCTACAGCCCACCCATAAACAAAGGAGACAAACTCCTTTAATGTGTCATCATTTAGGATAGGGAGACTTTCCAGGCTACATGGCTTTAATTTTACTCTTGTGTTTATTTTCTCAGACTCAGCTTTTCAGTATCATTTCTTCAATGTCTTCTGGTAACTAGTCCTATATAATATCTGTAGAGAATGCAGATAGGAGATTTCATTTCAAAATAAGACATTTCAAAATCCAAGATTAGAGCCCAAGTTCTTCCCCCAGCAGCATAATAGTTCTTGTAAATCTCTGTTAAAGACAGACGTGATTTGCCAAATTAAAAAAAAAAAAATCATGACTAGAAAAAAGAAATTAATGCTGAAGGTAAAGATCAATAGCTTCTCTATGAAGGCCATTATCAATGTGGCAAATTTGGATATTCCTATGCTAAACAGAGAAATCCATGGCAAAGTCTTGCTCCATGATCTGTCCACACACAGCTGTTGTGGAGTCCTTTCTTACCCATGCACCAGCAGCTCTTGCAAGGTGGTCCCATTGAGATTCTCCCAGCTGGAGTGTAACCTCAGCCAGTGCTGGTCTTCCTGCTCTTGAATCAGTTCTGTCACAGATGGTTCTCTGATAAGGAAATGCTAGGTAAATATCCAAAGTACAAAGATCTTTGAACAGATATTATTATCACTATTTAACATTCACTTGTTTTAAAAAAATAAAGAAACATCACATTGCAAATCAATATTTCAAGAGAAAAATTTGATTAGGAGAGTTTGGCATAGAACATGATTAGCAAGAGAGGAAGTTATTAGGAGTATACACAGGTGATAAGAAACCAAATTACTGCAGCTGTTTTAGTCGTTTTTCTGCTGACATGCATTTGATCATCATAAGCTGTTAGAATTCTAGTATCTAAACACTGAAAGTTCCAATATCTAAAAAATAAGAGCAGTTTTAAACAAACTTCTGCCTCCCAAGGCTCAGGGATCATTGAGCAAGAGGGGCCAGAAAGACTGTAAGGTCCAGAGGTGATGGATGACCACAAGGGAACAGGATTTTCCAGACAATTGGGTAATTACTCATATGAACTCACAGCAATGGTTACAGATGCACCTGTCTCACCTAAACTCAAGTCAGACAAAAATCCCACATGAATATGGGAAGTAGGTATTAAACCTCAACCCTACCTGAGGAACTATTGGGAGCTGATGGCTGCTGGGAGAGGGAAAGACAGTCTTATTTAAGGGTGAGACTCTTGGTAGGTTAACCAGGCTTCAGTTGATGAACCCACATAGAAGGACACAAGTTTGACTCTATAGGCACATATATATGTATGTATATATATATATATATTCATTCTATAGGTCTTATATATTATGTATTATATTCTCTATATAATATATTATATATATGTAAAACAGAGTACATGAAATTGTGCAAAGGGTAGTAGGGGGTTGCAGATGGGAGAAAGGATCAAAAACTGATCAAAATATATTGTATGAAATTTGCAAATTTTCAAAAAAGTAAAATAAAGTTTGTCTGGCTTTTTTTGCCTCCTCTTTTTTTGACCATTGTAGTCCTGAAATATGCCCTAAATTTTAAAAAATACAGAGATTCGATAGCGCAGCTCTCCGCGCCGGGACTCCCTAAGCGACATTCACCCTTCCATCCCCCGCCTCGCCGTTCTATACTCCTAGTTTGGGCCCTGCGCCATTCCTAGTCTCGGGGCCCCAGACACCTGGGGAACCAATACTGCTTCCTGACCCTTCCCACCCAGAGAAACTCAGTCCCTTTCTTGGGCTCCAAGAGCACCACTTCTGGTCCTGGGCCCGCCCTCACCTCTCTCCGCTTCCCTGGGCCTGCACCACCGGCTAACTCTCCTAGCCTGCACTACTATCCTCAGGCCTCTTGGGATAAGTCTATAGCGCAGCTCTCCGCGCCAGGACTCCCTAAGCGACATTCACCCTTCCATCCCCC